AACGTCAAGGAGTCAAGAAATCGAAAAATTGCGAAAACCAAATAGGCCTTAATCGAAAAAAATCAATAAATTAAAAAAATGAAAAGTCGAGAAATTCAACAATCAAAAAACATCGAAATTTTGATGAATCGAAAAATTTAAAAAGCAAGAAATTGGAAAATCGACAAATCAAAAATTTTAAAAATTAAAAAATTGAATAACCAAAGAATCTAAAACTGGAAAGTCGAAAAATCGAAAGATCGAGCATCGAAATATCATCGAAATCTTGATAATCCAAAGATAGAAAATTGAAAAATCGAAAAGATTAAGCACCGAAAAATTAAGAAATCGAAAAATTAACAATTTTAGAGATCGAAAAATTTACAAACCGAAAAATTTTAAACCGAAAAGTCAAAATATAGAAAAACCGAGAATTTGTTACATCAAAAAACTGAAAAACTTTAAATTGAAAGATCGTAGAACTGAAAAATCGAAACATTCAGAAATTGAGAAATCGAAAACCCTGAAATTTTTAAAACTGAAAAATTCAAGAATTGAAAATTAGAAAAATTAAAAAACCAGGAAATAGGGAAATCGAGAAATTGAAAATCCAAAATTTAAAAATTGTAACAATTGAAATATCAGAAAATTGAAGAATCGACCAACTGAAAAATCGAGAAATTGAAAAATTCCAAAACTAAAATAAGAAAAATTGGGGGAAATCGAAACGTCAAACGATCGAGAAATCAAGAAATGGAACATCAAGAAGAAGTCGAAAAACTAAAAATTGGGGAATCTCAATAGGCCCAAATCGAAAAATTTTGTAGAACAAAATGAATAATTGAAAACTTTTAATTTAAAAAATCGATAAATCGAAAAATTGACAAATCGAAAATTCGAGAAATTTAACAATCAAAAAATCGAAACATCAAATGGAAAAAAATTAAAAATAAAAAAAAACCGAAAAGTTGAAAAGTCGAAAAACAAGAATTTTAAAAATAGAGAAAAATCTAAAACCGGGAATTCGTAAAATTGAAAAGTCGAAGAATCAAAAATCGAGATAGTGAGAAATCGAGAAACCGAGAAATCGAAAAATCTAAAATTTAAAAATTGAAAAGTCAAAATATCCAAAAAATAAAAAATCCAATTATCAAAAGATTAACAAATTGGAAAATTTAAAATTCAAAAATTCAAAAACTGAATAGTCTAAACTGAACAACTATCGAAAAATTTAAAAATGGAAGAAAAATTTAAGAATGGAAACATTAAACATTTAGAGACGTCAAAACTTGAAAAATTGAAAAACTGAAACATCGAAAAATTGAAAAATCGAAAAATGAAGAAATCGAGAAATCGAAAATTTGAAGAATCGAGATATCGAGAAATAGAAAGTTAAGAAGTCGAAAAATCGAAATAGGCCTAAATCGAAAAAAATCGAAAAATCAAAAAATTTAACAATCAAAAAAAAATCGGAAACTCGAATTTACAATGAATCAAAATAAGAAAAATTGAAAAATCAAAAATTTGAAATTGGAAAACTGAAAAATTGTAACACTGAACAGTCAAGAAATCAAGAAATGGAAAAATCAAAAAATCGAGTAATAGAAAAAGTGGGAAATCTAAAAATTGAAAATTTAGATATGTCAAAAATACAAAAATTAAAAAACTGAGAAATCGAAAAATAATCGAGAAATCGAGAAATCGAAAATTTGAAGAATCGAAAAGTCGCGAAATGGAACGTTAAGGAGTCGAACAATCGAAAAATTGCGAAAACCAAATAGGAAAAAATCAATAAATTAAAAAAATGAAAACTCGAAAAATTCAACAAACAAAAAATCGGAACATCGAAATTTTGATGAATTGAAAAAATCAAAAAGCAAGAAATTGGAAAATCTAAAATTCAAAAATTTTAAAAATCAAAAAATTGAATAACCAAAGAATCTAAAACTGGAAAGTCGAAAAATCGAAAAATCGAGAATCGAAATATAATCGAAATTTTGATAATCGAGAGATCGAAAAATTGAAAAATCGAAAAATCAAAAATTTTAGAGATCGAAAAATTTAAAAACCGAAAAATTTAAAACTGAAAATCGAAATATAGAAAAACCGAGAATTTGGTACATCAAAAAACTGAAAAACTTTAAATTGAAAGATCGTAGAACTGAAAAATCCAAAATTTAAAAATTGTAACAATTGAAATTTCAGAAAATTGAAGAATCGACCAACTGAAAAATCGAGAAATTGAAAAATTGACAAATCGAAAATTCAAGAAATTTAACAATCAAAAAATCGAAAATTCAAATGCAAAAAATGAAAAATAAAAAAAAAAATAAAAACCGAAAAATTGAAAAATCGAAAAAACAAAAATTTTAAAAATTGAGAAATTGAATAACCGAAAAATCTAAAATCGTCGTAAAATTGAAGATAGGAGCAACTGAAATATCCAGAAATAGAAAAATCTAAAATTTAAGAATTCGAAAAATTGAAAAGTCGAAGAATCGAAAAATCGAGATACTGAGAAATCGAGAAACCGAGAAATCGAAAAATCTAAAATTTAAAAATTGAAAAATCAAAATACCCAAAAAATAAAAAATTAGATTATCAAAAAATTAAGACATTGGAAAATTTAAAATTCAGAAGTTCAAAAATTGAATAGTCTAAACTAAACTATCGAAAAATTGAAAAATGGAAGAAAAATTTAAGAATGGATAAATTACACATTTAGAGATGTCAAAATTTGAAAAATTGAAAAACTGAAACATCGAAAAATTGAAAAATGAAAAAATGAAGAAATCGAGAAATCGAAAATTTGAAGAATCGAGATATCGAGAAATAGAAGGTTAAGAAGTCGAAAAATCGAAAAATCGAAAAATCGAAAAATTTAACAATCAAAAATCGGAAAATCGAATTTATAATGAATCGAAAATAAGAAAAATTGAAAAATCGAAAAAATTTAAAACCGAGAAATTGGCAAATCGAAAAATAAAAAATTTTAAAAATCGGAAAATTGAACAACCAAGAAATCTAAAACCGGAAAGTCGAAAAATCGAAAGATCGAGGATCGAAATATCAAAAAACTGAAAAATGTAAAACTTAAAATTTCGAAAAATTTAAAAATCAGAGAATTAAAAAATCGGAAAATCAAGTTATTGAGAAATCGACACATCGAAAATTTAAAACTTTTAAAAATTGAGAAATTCAAAAATCCAGAAATCCAAACATCAACAAATTAAAAAATCGAAATATCTAAAAGTCAAACATCGAAAAATTAAAAAATTGAGAAATCGAAAAATCTAAACTTTGAAGAATCGGAAATTTCCAAAATCCCAAAACTGAAACATCCAAAAATTGAAAAGTCTAAAAATTGAAACTCGGCAAAGATTTGAAAAATCGAAACATTAAAAAGTCAAGAAATCGAGAAATGAAAAAATAAAAAACCTGAAATTGGAGCACTAAAAAATCGAAACACTGAAAAGTAAAGAAACAGAAAAATGGGAAAATCAAAAAATCAAGTAACATAAAAGCTGAAATATCGAAAAATGAAAATTTGGAAACGTCAAAATTTGCAAAACTGGAACACCGGTAAATTGAGAAATCAAAAAATGAAGAAATCAAGAGCTCAAAAATTTGAAGAATCGAACAATTGAAATATTCCATTACAGTAATATCGAAAAATTGAAGAAAAAAAACTCTAAAAATTTAAAAAACTGAAATAAAAAATTTGAGAAATCAAAAATCGAAAAATTATTAATTTTGAACATTCGCAAAGTTTCGCAAAAATTCGATTTTGCAATTTCAAAGTTGAATTGTAAAATGTTACTACACAATTTTGATTTATTTTTCAAAAATCCGGATGTGTGAGGTAAAAACTCAACACAGATTCATAAACCAGAAGTAGGAGTATCTTATTTTATACAACTTAAGTAATATTTACTAATGGAATTTTAGAGATTTTACCATCTAAACGATACCCTAATAGACCGATAGACGGAAACGAGAGACCTACCTTTTCGTACTCTAGAAGTCATGAAAAATCGAAAAAACATAAAAACCAACCACCTGATTGTAGCAAAATTTATTAATGAATCTTTCATGATTAAATAAATAAATATTAAGTTGATCAGAAAATTAACCAACCATTTCCAACTGTAATTTTCAAAAAACATTATTTGCTGAACGTATTAGCATTTACTAAAGCGAATTATCAACAATTAAAAATTTTCAAACCAAAACTTAGAATATTTCAGAAAAAGTAGGCGATTCTGTAAATAAAAAAATAACAGAGGTATTTTAACGATAACAATTTAGTTTACTTGTAAGCTTATTTGCACTTGCATTGCATGTGCCATGAAATTTTCTTTTTGTCGAATTTTAAGTATTTGTTTATCTATAAGACGTCAAAAAATAACTGCATTTTGGAATTTTTAAACCTTTTTATCGATATTTACTTTTCCACATTTTCCAAGGTTTCAGTATTATCTTAATTTTTTAATTATAGACCAGTTGCTTTTTAAATACATGTCAAGCGCGCCTTGATTTCTAATATACAGTGTAACGCTTTTCCAAAGCAGGGTCTTTGTTAAATTACTTATTAAATGATTGAATCATATTTTCTTGTAGAACTGGATCGTGCTTAAAAATTATTGCTCAAATTTTATTCCCATTGGACCATCTTTCTGGAAAGTCCAGTTTCATTTGTCATTTTTCGTGGGTTTCAAGATGGTCAAAATTTTAATCCATTTGACTGCGCCACCTATAATTCGTATTAATTTTGGTTTTATGAATTTTTAATCCTGTATAGTGCGCTGATTTTAAAAAAGTTTAAATGAATATTTATAAGTCACACGTGCCAATAAACAAATACTTCTTCACCAAACAAACATAAAACTAAAAATGTTGCATGTCTGAGTTATTTAAAAGAACTATGTACAGACCGTTAATTAGGTACACATAAAACATATAAAAACGGACCTAAAACAGTTTCCATACCACAGTTAACCAACTGAAGACGCAGCACAACCATGAAGAACATTTTAGCACTGGTTTACGTTCTAGTAACGTTAAATTCTTGCCTCTCCTTGCAACTACGTGAGTAATTTTAATGATTTTTCTTTGTTTTTGGACCGATTTTTGCAGCACCTGGTTTCAAGAAATGCGACGCCAGTAAACCGGATTTTAACAGTTGCTTGTCTGAAGCTATTCCTTGTGCTATCAAACAACTGACTAAACCCATCCCTGAGTATGGTTTACCTCAACTGGAACCGTTTTTGGTCCCCGAAAAATCCAACTGCGAATTTGGTAACGAAACCATGGCCATTCGACAAAAGTACTCCAACTTTAGGCTGTATGGTTTAACAAAAATAGATAAAGGGAAGGCGGTGTAAGTTATAAATTATAATTAATATTTATACATTTTTGGTAATGTCATTTCTTGCAGATGGGACTGCAAAAATAAGGCTTTGGAATTGGAACTTTACTACGACAAAATCGTAATCGTCGTTGACTACGAGCTCGTTGGCAGAATTGTTTTGCTGCCGGTAAACGTATCAACAAAAGTGGGTGTCGAGTTGTGTAAGTTACAATATAGTGAAAACTAAAAAAATGATTAACTACTTTTTTTTAATCGTTGCAGCCCAAACAGTTTTCAAGTTGAAGTTCTCTTTGGACGAATACAAAGGCAAGGACGGTAACCACTTCAAGGTGGTGGATGCGACTCTGAAAATTGTAGCAAAGAATATGAAGGTAAATTACAAAAATCTCTTCAAGAACAAGCTGGTCGACAAGGCGATGTGTGAAGACTTTAATACGAACTGGCAAGATATCTTGGAATACTGGCAAAAGGTTTTGCCGAAAGTGTACGCAGAACCGTTTGGAGACGCATTCAGTACTCTTTTGGAAAAAGTGCCAGTGAAGAACTTGGTAGATGGGGTTGAGTAGTCAACTTGCTGATGTTATTTACAAGTGCTGTTTTCCTTAATAAATAAATAATCGAGCTTCGAATATTTGAAAACTTTATCATTTATTTATGTTTTTACTGAAAGTTTTCAAAATGTTTCATCGCAAACATAAAATATTCATTGTTGAAAGTTGTTTTCGAAACGCAGAAGAGGAGATTCATTTCTTTATATTTTACTTTCGTTAAAAGGAATTTCGAGTCTCTATGCAATTTACCTTCAATTTAAAAAAAGTTCTTGTTAACCCTAATTTTCTGTATTTAATTACACAAATTTACAATTCGACAAAAATAACAAATATTAAACTTAGATGGTTTAGGGAAAGCTAACCTCAATATGTTAAAACTGAAGGACAACTATTGAAAACAGTAAATGTCAAACTGATTAATACGAACAAGGAATTTGTCAGGATTTATTTAAAGAAGTTGAAGATATCGACTGCACAGGGTATCAGACTTCGGTAGAATAAGGCTCACAAAAGACAGATTAGATTTGTGAGTACAGTTGGGTTTTTTGGATTTTATTAATTTTTTCGATTTTTCTTGTGATTCCGAATTTTTTATTTTTTGATTTTGTAAAATTCTGCTTTTTTTGAGATGTTTTGGTTTTTTCCTTATTTTGAATTTTGTGGATATTTTCGATTTTTGGTTTTGCTGGATTTTTTAAATTACGGTGTCTTGGACTTTTTGGGTTATTTGGGTTTTTTGGATTTCTGGGATAATTTCCATTTGGACTATACTTGAATTTTTTAATTTTTTGAATTTCTTGGGTTTCTTGGATTTTTTTAGATTTGTTTGGATTGTGTCGATTTTTTGGACTGGAGTTTCTTGAGTTTCTTGGGTTTTGGATTTCTTGAACTTCTTCGGTTTTTTGGATTTTCCGGATTTCCTTAATTTTTCGATTTTTTGCTGAATTTTCTAGAATTTTTTTATTTTTTTGGATTTCTTGGATTTTTTGGGTTTTTGGGTTCTTTAGATTCTTCAATTTCTAAAGTTTTTTCGGTCTTGGATTTCTTGCACTTCTGAGTTGTTTGGATTTTTTTGATTTTCCGGATTTTTTAAACTTTTCAGTATTTCTCGATTTTCCTAATTTTTTGCGGGATTCTTTGGATTCTTTCGCTTACCTGATTTCTTTGAATTCCTTGGAATCCTTCAATTGTTGGGATTTTTTGGATTCCTTGCATTTTTTGGATTCTCCGGATCCTTTGTATTATTTACATTATTTGGGTTCTTTGAATTTTTGGGATTTTTCGGACGTTACTAAGTCTTGCCTTACACAAATTCCATGTAGATATTGTAAAAAATTTGTTTTGTTGTATGTTGACGTGTACAAAAACAGTGTTATATGTTTATATGTACAAATAAATATGTTATGTTATGTTATGTTATTTGGGTTCTTTGAATTTTTGGGATTTCTGGGATTTTTGGGATTCTTGGGATTCTTAGAATTTTTGGAATACGGCAGATTTTTTGTATTTTTCGAATTTTCAGCTTTTTCGGCTTTTTGGATTTTCCGGATTTTCTGAAATTTGCTGTATTTTCTCGATTTTCTTCTTTTCTGCAGGATTTTCTGTTTCTTTTTTATTATTTTTTTTAATTTCTTGGGTTCCTTAAATTCATTGAATTCTTTGGATTCTTTGAATTACTTGGATTCTTTGGATTCCTTGAATTCTTTGGATTTTTTGAATTACTTGGATTTTTTGGATCCTTTGAATTCTTGGGATTTCTAGGATTTTTGAGATGTTTGAGGTTTTCGGAATTTTTGGAGTTTTTGGAATTTGGCAGATTTTTGGTATTTTTCGGAATTTTCTTCATTTTTTGCGAAATTTCCTGGGAATTTTTTTATTTTTTTGGATTTCTTGGTTTTTTTGTAGTTTTTGGGTTTTTGGATTCTTTAGATTCTTGAATTTCTTGACTTTCTTGGGTTTTGGATTTCTTGCATTTCTTGGGTATTTGGTTTTTTTGAATTTTCCGGTTGTTCTCCATTTTTTCCCGGATCTTCTGCAATTTTTTTAATAACTTCGATTTTTTGATTTTCTGGATATTTAAAATTACGAGTTTTTTGGATTTTGTGGGTTATTTGAATTTTTTTGGATTTCTGAGATAATTTCCATGTTAGGATTGGATTTCTTAATTTTTTTTTAATTTCCTGGGTTTCTTGGATTTTTTAGATTTCTTTGGATTGTGTCCAATTTTTGGACTAGAGTTTATTGAGTTTGTTGAGTTTTAGATTTCTTGAACTTCTTGGGTTTTTTGGATTTTCATAATTTTTCGGGATTTTCGGGATTTTCTTCATTTTTGCAGAATTTTCTGGATTTTTTTATTTTTTTGGACTTCTTGGATTTTTGGATTTTTTGGGTTTTCGGATTCTTTAGACTCTTGAATTTCATGAGTTTCTTGGGTTTTGGATTTCTTGCATTTCTTGAGTTTTTTTGGATTTTTTGTATTTTCTGAATTTTTCGGTATTTTCTCGATTTTCTTAATTTTTTTGCTGGATCTTCTGAATTTTTTTTGACTTTTTTTGTATTTCTTGGATTTTTTAGATTCTTTGGATTCTTTGGATGCTTTGGGTCGTTTGAATTTTTGGGATTTTTCTGATTTTTGGAATTCTTAGGGTTTCAGAGTTTTTCGAATTTTTCGAATTTTTGGGGTTTTTTGGAATTTTCGTGGTTTTTGGATTTTGACAAATTTTTGGTAAATTTTTCGAATTTTTAGGATCTTCCGTATTTTCGGAATTTTTTAGATTTTCTTCATTTTTGCTGAGTTTTCTAGAATTTTTTTGTTTTTTTGGATTTCTTGGATTTTTTAGGTTTTTGGATTCTTTAGATTATCGTATCTCTTGAGTTTCTTGGGTTTTGTATTTCTTGCACTTCTTGAGTTTTTGGATTTTTTTAAATTTCCGGTTTTTCATTTTTTGCAGAATTTTCTGGAATTTTTTTATATTTTTGGACTTCTTGGATTTTTGGATTTTTTGGGTTTTCCGATTCTTTAGATTCTTGAATTTTTTGAGTTTCCTGGGTTTTGGATTTTTTGCTTATCATAGGTTTTTTTGAATTTTTTTGTATTTTCTGAATTATTCGGTATTTTCTCGATTTTCTTTATTTTTTGCTGGATCCTCTGAATTTTTTTTTACTTTATTTGAATTTCTTGGATTTTCTGTATTCATTGGATTCCTTGGATTTCTTGGATTTTTTTTATTTTTTTGGTTTTTGGGATTGTTTGGATTATTGAATTTCTTGAATTTCTGGGGTTTTGGATTTCTGGCATTTCTTGAGTTTTTTAATTTTTTGGTTTTTCTAGATTTTTTGAATATTTCGGTAGTTTCTCAATTTTCTTCATTTTTTGCTAGATTTTCTGTTTATTTATTTTTTTTTTATTTATTGGATTCCTTAGATTTGTTAGATTCTTTGGATTCCTTGAATTCTTTGGATTACTTGGATTCTTTGGATTCTCTGGATTCTTTGGATTTTTAGATTCTTTAGATTCTTTAGATTCTTTAGATTCTTTAGATTCTTTAGATTCTTTAGATTCTTTAGATTCTTTAGATTCTTTAGATTCTTTAGATTCTTTAGATTCTTTAGATTCTTTAGATTCTTTAGATTCTTTAGATTCTTTAGATTCTTTAGATTCTTTAGATTCTTTAGATTCTTTAGATTCTTTAGATTCTTTAGATTCTTTAGATTCTTTAGATTCTTTAGATTCTTTAGATTCTTTAGATTCTTTAGATTCTTTAGATTCTTTAGATTCTTTAGATTCTTTAGATTCTTTAGATTCTTTAGATTCTTTAGATTCTTTAGATTCTTTAGATTCTTTAGATTCTTTAGATTCTTTAGATTCTTTAGATTCTTTAGATTCTTTAGATTCTTTAGATTCTTTAGATTCTTTAGATTCTTTAGATTCTTTAGATTCTTTAGATTCTTTAGATTCTTTAGATTCTTTAGATTCTGTGACGTCAAACTGCTTAAACAGGCGTTGCGATAGGTGGCGGCCAGCCAGCTAGTCGTGTGGGTGGGTTTCAAAAAAAGAGAAAAATTATTAGGGCGCCACGAGTTCGTTATAACGCCCCTATCGCAATCGTCTAATCCTGTTTTGCCTCCCCAAACTCGAAAAGAGCAGCTAGCAACCCGCAATGAGGGGAAAAAAGAACAAATTTATATCTGCAGTCTATATTGTACGGTAAACAGGAAAAAAAGAGTCTAGTTAAATGATGATAATGACAGATAGTGTTTCTAAAATATAATCCAAGAAGATCCAAAAATCTGTAAAGCTTATCGAAGACCAAAAAAACAGTGAAAGTTGTACAAGGGTGAAATTGTTACGTTGTGAGATTGTCACACAATGAGTGAAACGTAAGTCAATATCAACTAAATGTATAAACAAATAAATAAGACCAAGTTGTTATTATATTTCGCGCACTTTATCGTCAACCGATGTTCGTGAACGTACCTTATATAAAACGCAGAGCGTATCAGCTGAGTCGAACGGCGTCTTATCAGTAACGTGATATGGAAATAAGCGATAACGCAACCAACCAACAAAATAGCGCTCCCAAAATAACAACCGGTGCACAAGTGATACCACAGTGAGGTGAAGCCCCAACTGCAGGATTACAATAATTAGGTAAGTTACACAAGAAAACCTAAATCAAAAAAAGGTGAATAAAATCGACCATGGCACACAAAAAAAAAATGCCAAAACTAAACTGTCACAACGATGTTATGGTATTATCGTAATATACGCTCGCACGATCGTAGGTAGGATGGTATTCCGGGTACTTATCGTTCCGGTGTCCTCCACGTCACGTCACCTTCAGCTAGATGGAAGGGTTCTCCTCAAAGAGGATTCGGGAATCCGGATTTAAGTCATAATCGAGCAATCACAGCAAGACCCCGAAAATCGTGGCTCCAGGAGCTGCTGAATTTTCCTTTAGCGTCCAGGCAATGAAGCACCAAACGAAGGGAACTTGGTGGAAAACTCCGGGTGAGTAGTACACTCCAATAATAAAAGCCTAAAAAAAACGAAGTTCTAGAAAGTTCGCCAGGAAATTGACAATGGGGCACAAATTGGTTCATCGACGAGAAAAGTTGAAACTGTGAGAATATTTAATCATTTTACCTCTGGATGGGCGAGGCTGCTTTAGATATTGAGGGTGTGGTGGCGTCCAAAAAAAATCCAACAAACGTTGCGTGCTTTGCAAGCACCTCTTCCTCCGGTTTTTTCCAAAATCCGACACAATAAGTCGTTTGAGTAAGACCTTAGCGACAACTACTCCAAGCAATTTCACAAATCTAAACTTTTAGGTCTCTCAAAGCTAAAAATTCCGGGAACAGAATTCGCACAACCACACAAGAAGGTTAGCAAAAATCTAACGGATGAAGATATATTTTTCTTGCCTCAAAAAAAGTGATCCGTCATCAGCAGAAGCCTTCCCGCCTTTTTAGGAACCAATTAGAATTAAGTTTATTTTCGACAAGATGGTGTCAATTCCGGTGGCGCTGTTGTTCAGTTCGAGTCAAAAATCCCTATTTCAGATGACAAGGCGACAGGGTTGCCAAAAGATGATGACGTGTTTTGTTTACAGTAACCTCAAATGGTGAACAACATAAAAGGTTTGCGAGGGACGCTATTCTGGCATAAATATAATAAGTGTAAACTATGATGGAATGTTTAATAAAACTGTATCCTATTTTTATGCCGTTACAATTCTTTAGATTCTTTAGATTCTTTAGATTCTTTAGATTCTTTAGATTCTTTAGATTCTTTAGATTCTTTAGATTCTTTAGATTCTTTAGATTCTTTAGATTCTTTAGATTCTTTAGATTCTTTAGATTCTTTAGATTCTTTAGATTCTTTAGATTCTTAAGATTCTTTAGATTCTTTAGATTCTTTAGATTCTTTAGATTCTTTAGATTCTTTAGATTCTTTAGATTCTTTAGATTCTTTAGATTCTTTAGATTCTTTAGATTCTTTAGATTCTTTAGATTCTTTAGATTCTTTAGATTCTTTAGATTCTTTAGATTCTTTAGATTTTTTAGATTCTTTAGATTCTTTAGATTCTTTAGATTCTTTAGATTCTTTAGATTCTTTAGATTCTTTAGATTCTTTAGATTCTTTAGATTCTTTAGATTCTTTAGATTCTTTAGATTCTTTAGATTCTCTGGATTCTTTGGATTCTTTGGATTTTTAGATTCTTTAGATTCTTTAGATTCTTTAGATTCTTTAGATTCTTTAGATTCTTTAGATTCTTTAGATTCTTTAGATTCTTTAGATTCTTTAGATTCTTTAGATTCTTTAGATTCTTTAGATTCTTTAGATTCTTTAGATTCTTTAGATTCTTTAGATTCTTTAGATTCTTTAGATTCTTTAGATTCTTTAGATTCTTTAGATTCTTTAGATTCTTTAGATTCTTTAGATTCTTTAGATTCTTTAGATTCTTTAGATTCTTTAGATTCTTTAGATTCTTTAGATTCTTTAGATTCTTTAGATTCTTTAGATTCTTTAGATTCTTTAGATTCTTTAGATTCTTTAGATTCTTTAGATTCTTTAGATTCTTTAGATTCTTTAGATTCTTTAGATTCTTTAGATTCTTTAGATTCTTTAGATTCTTTAGATTCTTTAGATTCTTTAGATTCTTTAGATTCTTTAGATTCTTTAGATTCTTTAGATTCTTTAGATTATAAGTTATCAAAGAAATGAGCCCAGAAATGCCTTTTAGAGCTCGAAATAAACAAGAAGGTTAAGTTAGAAAATGGTCAAAAATGGGTCGATATTTGAAGAAGTGAAAAGTATTGGAAAAATTTAATTTCTGAAAATGTCTAAAAATCCACAAAAAGTCTGTGGTATATTAATGTCGACGTGCTGATTCCAAAAATATAGCTTGTTTATGTTTCTCGAACAATATTTTCCAAATTTTCCATTTCAAAGTAAAATTAAAAAAAAAAACAAAAATTTCGATAGTTCAGTGGCCGATTCTGGAAAAACGATTGGAGTCATCACAAATTTAGAATAACATATTAAAAAATTGAGGATTAGCCCTGTCTTGTTTTGGAGATCCAGACGATTGTATATCTGGAATTTGTCTTCTTGTAAGGAATGACTGCATAATCGTAGCATCATAGATGTTTGCACATATGTTGCTGAGACAATTTAGAATAACATATGAAAAAATTGAGGATTAGCCCTCTCTTGGTTTAGAGATCCAGAGGGTGGTAAATCTGGAATCAGTCTCTCTTTAAGAATGACTGCATACTCGCAGCATCGTAGAACTTTGCACACACGTTTTTGACACAATTTAAAATAACATATTAAAAAATTGAGGATTAGCCCTGTCTTGTTTTGGAGATCCAGACGATTGTATATCTGGAATTCGTCTTCTTGTAAAGAATGACTGCATACTCGCAGCATCTTAGATGATTGCACACACGTTGCTGAGACAATTTAGAATAACATATGAAAAAATTGAGGATTAGGACTCTCTTGGTTTAGAGATCCAGAGGATGGTAAATCTGGAATTAGTGTCTCTTTGAGAATGACTGCATACTCGCAGCATCGTAGAACTTTGCACACACGTTGTTGCGCAGCATCATAGATGTTTGCACACATGTTGCTGAGACAATTTAGAATAACATATGAAAAAATTGAGGATTAGCCCTCTCTTGGTTTAGAGATCCAAAGGGTGGTAAATCTGGAATTAGTCTCTTTTTAAGAATGACTGCATACTCGCAGCATCGTAGAACTTTGCACACACGTTTTTGACACAATTTAAAATGACATATTAAAAAATTGAGGATTAGCCCTGTCTTGTTTTGGAGATCCAGACGATTGTATATCTGGAATTTGTCTTCTTGTAAGGAATGACTGCATACTCGCAGCATCTTAGATGTTTGCACACATGTTGCTGAGACAATTTAGAATAACATATGAAAAAATTGAGGATTAGCCCTCTCTTGTTTTAGAGATCCAGAGGGTGGTAAATCTGGAATTAGTCTCAATTAACAATGACTGGATACTAGCAGCATCGTAGAACTTTGCACACACGTTGTTGAGACAATTTAAAATAACATATTAAAAAATTGAGGATTAGCCCTTTCTTGTTTTGGAGATCCAGAGGATTGTATATCTGTAATTTGTCTTCTTGTAAGGAATGACTGCATAATCGTAGCATCAGAGTATTTTGCACACACGTTGCTGAGACAATTTAGAATAACATATGAAAAAATTGAAGATTAGCCCTCTATTCTTTTAGAGATCCAGAGGATGGTAAATCTGGAATTGGTATCTCTTTAAGAATGACTGCATACTCGTAGCGTCGTTGAACTTTGCACATACGTTGTTGAGACAATTTAAAATAGCATAATAAAAAAATTGAGGATTAGCCCTTTCTTGTTTTGGAGATCCAGAGGATTGTCTATCTGGAATTAGTTTTCTTGTACGGAACGACTGCATAATCGTAGCATCATAGAATTTTGCACACACGTTGCTGAGACAATTTAGAATAACATATTAAAATAATTGAGGATTTGCTCTCTCTGCTTTTGAAAATCCAGAGGATTTTATATATGAAATTAATCTTCTTGTGCGGATTCACTGATGATCGTAGCATCTTAGAACTTTGCACACAGGTTGTTGAGACAGTTTACAATAACATATTGAAAAACTGAGGATTAGCCCTGTCTTGTTTTGGAGATCCGGAGGGTGGTAATTCTGAATTTGTTTCTCAAGAAATTATACAAAAGTGCTTTGGAAGCACTTCAAGACGAAATATTCAAAACTTGAGAATTCGTTCTCCTTTGTTTTGGAATTAAAGAGAGTGGAATAACAGAAATTAGTCGTCCTGAAATTAACGACGGCATGACCGCAGCATCATGAAACTTTGCACAAATGTTTCCAAAGTAATTCAGGACAAAATATTGAAAAATTGTGAATTCGCTTTCTCTTGTTTTGCAGATACAGGAGTTGGTAATTCCGAATGAGTCTTTCAGAATACAATGACTACATACTCGCAGTATCGTGAAAGTTTGCACAAGCGTTCTTTGGATAATTCAAGACAAAATATTAAAAAATTGGGAATTCGCTCTCTTTTGCTTTGAAGTTAAAGAGAGTGGAGGATCAGAAATTAGTGGTCCTGAAATTAACGACTGCATAATCGCAGCATCATGAAACTTTGCATAAATGTTCTCGAGGCAATTCGGAACAAAATACTGAAAAATTGAAAATTCGCTTTCTCTTGTTTTGGAGATCCAAGTGGTGGTAATTCCGAATTAGTCTCTCAGAAAACAATTACTGCATACTCGCAGCATCATGAAACTTTGCACAAATGTTCTGGAGGCAATTCAGGACAAAATGAAGAGACTAATTCGAAATTACCACTTTCTAGAACTCCAAAACAGGAGAGGGTTTGTGCCCTCTTCTTTAATATTATGTTCTGTACTGACTTATAAGGAACATTTGTCTAAAGTTTTATTATATTTCCTAACGGCGTGCGGAAAGTGATACTTTTCCGCA